ATATGAAATATATGCCTATTTCTTTTTTTTTATTTACCTGTTGGATTCTTTAAATTTGTTAATTATGTTTATAAATTTTGACATAAATTTTTTATTAACTACACGTTTTTCTTAACTCAGTTTCGCGTTTATTTGTTTGTGGGTTTGTTGTTAAAATTGACATCGAAAATTAGCACACTTCTGATTGCTCTAGACATCTGAAATTCGGCATGCAGGCTATTTTCTCCTAACAATTTCAGATGCAATCATAAAAACTAGCAATTAGAGACCTAAATTAGCTTAATTAAATTACGCCCCAAGGACCCTAAAATTGAGGACATGATTTCTAAAGCAAAAATTATCAATCCAGATTTATCAAAACAAAATTAAAAGGTTTTATCAGTGGCGGAGTGGTCTAGCGGCAGAGAGTTGGACTGCTAACCCGTTAGTCTCGAGTTCGAATCCGGGTAGGACAGCTAACCCGTTAGTCTCGGGTTCGAATCCGGGTTTAAGTCAGTAGACCGTCCCTGAGTCCACCCAACTCTGATGGGTACCTAAAAAATCCTCTAAATTTTTATGTATTTAAAAACACTTAGTTAAGTCATACTTAATTCAAGTCATTAGATAAAGTAGAAAATAAACTATATAAAAACTTTTTAAAAACCACGTTTTTCATGTGTAGCAACGGACTAAAAAGGAGAAAATAAAAAACTTAAAAAAAAAAACACGTTTTTCTTGTGGACTAAAAAGTAGAAAATAAATTTTGTGCTTCCTCGAGCTGTGCAGGTTCTTGTGATGACTGTTCATACATTTGATGACAAAAACGTGGGTCGGGCAGATGGGTCGGGAAATTTGATGGTGAACGTACCCACGTTTTTTGTCATCAAATGTATGAACAGTCATCACAAGAACCTGCACAGCTCGAGGAAGCACAAAATTTATTTTCTATTTTTTAGTCCACAAGAAAAACGTGTTTTTTAAAAAAAGTTTTTTTTAAGTATTTTATTCTCAGCTGTAAAACATTATTGTTGAGATTCATTTCTAATTGCGTTTGTGTTGAGGTTGTATTTATCATGTTGTATGTGGCCAGCTATTAACTCTTTTTTTTAAATAAACTAATAGTATTTACAAAATTAAGTCTCGAACTTGAATGCAGGTTAAATTAATGTATGTGGCATGTGGTTAAATAAACTAACAGTATTTACTAAAATAAGTCTCGAGTTTGAATGCGGGTTAAAGTCAGTAGAACGTTCCAGAGTTCATCCAGCTCTGATGTGTACCTGACTCACATTATGGAAAGCAAAGACGGCTGGGGATAGTGCTGACCACACTATCCCTTTAGGGTAGACTAAAAACAAATGGCCATATTTCATTTGATGAGACTAAACCTATGTAATTGACCATATTATCTATCTACCCTTCCCTAGGTCAGTGCAACCGTGGTGAAACCCACGGTGGTTAAATCTTATCCTTAACCTTAGTCTAAATAAAAACACAGACCACTAAAAAACAGAATTTATTGCATGAAATAAAATGGAACAAAAAAAAAATATAAATTAAGTCAAATTCAAAACATCCTAATGCAACACTAAACAATCACCAATGCCAAACAAACAAAACACAACGTTCAATTGGATATTATGTACCTTCGGTACCTCGGAGTCTAGGCTCTGAACACACAGACAACCATCCTTACCAGTGCTGCCACCGAAACGCCATCTAATATCCGCACCAAACATCAAACAAAACAATACAAATCAAGCCAAGTTGCACAAACAACCTCACTGGAAGGGGGAGGGGAGAGAAAAAAAGAAAAGGAAAACATAAGAAAATGCATGGAAAAATATATATACATCAATATATACATATGTTTAAATACTACTGACTACTACTAAAGATATCTAAAGCATCGAGTAAAATATTAATCCCTACTACTACCACTAATCTTAGAATACTAAATCAATTCTCAAAACCACAATAAATCACTGTCTAACCAAGAAATTAGCCAATTAAAAATAACGTGCAATAAAAATCATCATTGTAGAACCAATTTATCCTACACAATGAGCAGCACGAAGCCATTGGTCTACCTATACAGCATCCACATTGATAACAATAAAGTTAACACACCCCGCTAAGGCCCCAAATAGGGGTAGACACAAAGTAAGTGACTCAACATGACGTTGTAAGAAACATCACACACATTAATTTTACAGCAACCTAAAACTCGAGGCAAATTAAAATACACTCATTACAGGGGTTCCCAACCTTTTTTTACTCTAGAGCACATTCTAAAATATCGGTAGGGTGGCGGGCACCACCTATTTTAAATCGACAAACTCCTTCCAGAGGCGTAGCGACCCTTCCCGTCACCCGGGAAACTAAAATACACTCATTACTGTCTAAGACAAACACAACAAAATTACTTGTGACTGAGCCCAACTTAGTCATCGTGGGGAACCCACAATAACAAGACTTTAAAATAAAAAAGTAAAATACACAAACGCACTCAAACCAGTTTGGGAAACCATCCTAAACATATCGACCTAAACCACGTGGTCTAAAACATGCCAAGGGTTTTAGAAAATACCAAAATACAATTCAAATCTTTCAAAAAAGAACACACCACGAGTATACCAGACAAGCCGATGCCCACTATCTCTTTTCAGACGAAAAAGAAAGAAAACGAGAATTATCGGCAGTCGCTTTCATACCAATCACACATATACAAATACAATAAAAAACACGAATACCTTCACGCACGAGGTGAGCCCACACAGAAACTGACCTGATCTACATCTCGCCTCGGGTCAAAAGAAAGAAATTATCCGACCGGTAAGTTTTTATACTGACCGCTTCGTGCGGAACGGGAAACCCTGTAGCCGCTGTCAAGTGGACCATTCACGCAGATTCGCACACAATAAAATAATACAAAATAAGACATCCATTTACCCGCTCACACTAACATTAGTAACAAACAAATGTTATCCGACACTGACCTTACCTAACTTGCAGGTACAGGCTTTGGAGCATCACAAGAGAGTAAAATACACCCCAGCATTTAAAACACATTGGCCTCATTGGAATTTACATACAGAAAGTGTTGTGAGAAAAACAATAATAATAAAATTTTACACACACTTTAGCCATTTTATTTCTTAAAATTTTCATGTTACAATTTGTAATAATTCACTACTTTAGAATTTAGATTACAAGGCTATTTTTTTAATAGTAAGGAATAAAAAATTAAATAATAACTAGCCAAAAATAACATTAGGTTGAAACTAAGATACCAAAATGTAACAATTGCAGCTCTAGTCTTTCTTTTCTTGAAATTTATAATTTTTATGCTGTTTTTATAAAAAAAATTAATGTTAATTTATGACATTGAAATGTGTGGTTAATCTTTAAATTGTATAGCCTGTATACATTGCAGACAGTATAGTCTGATCGCATTTAGCTAAGGATGAAAAAGTTTTTACAAAAAAAAATTGCTGTCTGCTCAGAAGTTTTGATGTCACTGTACCTGTTGGCCAGATGCCATTGTGACTGCTGGCCTGATGTCATTGTACTTGTCTAATGGAGGTTGTATTAACTGTTAACCTGATATTCTGTCATGTTGCTGTATGTCTGACTGAGCTGTTTGTGAGTTGTGTAAATGTGTAAAGTTAAGAATGAGAATTGTGTTTCAGTACTTATATTGTAAACATCTAGTAAATGTAAATAATACATTGAAGTTGAACAGCATGTTTTATTTTAGTTAGCTTCTGTTATTGTTAATGTGTTATTGGTTTGATCAGAATTGGTAAACTCCCTTGTCCCAATGAATGTGCATTGTCAATTTTATATAATCTGAAACAGGCAAATTAGCTGTGTGGCCTGAACAAAACCATGCGGGTATAAAAATAAAACCCTGGGTCTCTAAAATGATAGCTTACTTCTTCTGTCAAACATATTTACAAATAACACAAAAAGAAGTAGGATACATAAAGAAAAAAATGTACACATGCAGCTGACAATAGGATGCTATTTCCTTTTACAGTCAGAATACAATTTCTTTTTAGAGTATGTATTATAATTGACGAGGTATACTCTTTGACAAAAGAACCTTTTTATAATACAAATATTTATTAACCATGGCCCACTATTGGAAGTTATGTGCAGAGAAAAATATAAGACATTTAATAATAATAATTTGCTATAGATATTAATTTTTTATGTTCAAAAATGACTTTAAATTGGTTTTAAGTCATGATGAATTTTTTTGACTATATGAAGTAAATTTAAAAGAAAATATTTCCTTACCAACATCACATTCCTCTGTCTTATAGAATGAATTTTTTTAGAGTATTTAAATTTGAGAAAATCGTTTGTGAAAAACATAATTTAGACTACAACTTCTAGAAAACCTTTAATGACATATACCACTTTCATATAGCTTGTCTCATAAATGAACTTTTTCATGTGCACTTAATTGAGAACGTTGAAAAAACCATTTTTGGCCAAAAAAAGTTTTTTATGTGTAGTTAAACTATTCTGAGTAAATCATTTAGGATTAACATCAAATTCATATGGCTTTTTTTTCCAAAATGAACAAAATTGTCTTAATAAATCACACTTACAAGCAAATTTTATAGGACAAACATCACATTCATCATGTGGCCTTTCATCTGAATGAATCTTTTTTTGTGTTCTTAAATTAGAATATTGAGAAAACATTATATTAAACATCACATTTTATGACAAACATCACATTCATGTGGCCTTTCTCCTGAATGAACCATTTTATGTTCTCTTAAATGAGAACCTTGAGAAAACCTTTTATGACAAACATCACATTCATGGGGTTTATCTGCAGAATGAATAATTTTATGTTGTAATAGATCTTTCTTCTCTACAAAGATTTTATGACAAACACCACATTCATGGGGTTTATCTCCTGAATGCATCTTTTTATGTTTACCTAAGTTAGAACTTCTAGAAAAACTTTTATGACAAACATCACATTCATGGGGTTTATCTCCTGAATGAATCTTTTTATGTGCTCTTAACTGAGGAGTAGAAAATCTTTTATGACAAACATCACATTCATGTGGCCTTTCTCCTGAATGAACCATTTTATGTTCTCTTAAATGAGAACCTTGAGAAAACCTTTTATGACAAACATCACATTCATGGGGTTTATCTCCTGAATGAACTTTTGTATGTTCTTTTAACTTAGAACTATATAAAAATCTTTTAAGACAAGTATTACATTCATATTCAGAATGAACAATTTTATGTCGCAATAGACCATTCTTATCTGCAAAGATTTTATGACAAACATCACAATCATATGCCTTTTCTACTGGTTTAATAGCTGAATGAACTTTTTTATGTTTACTTAAGCTAGAACTATTTGAAAACCTTTTATGACAAACATCACATTCATGTGGCTTATCTCCTAAATGCACATTTTTATGTTTTTTTAAATCAGAATTTTTAGAAAATCTTTGATGACAAACATCACATTTATGTGGCCTTATTCCTGAATGAATCATAATATGTTGATTTAAGTTAGAACTATATGAAAACCTTTTCTGACAAACCTCACATTTATATGGCCTTATTCCTGAATGAATCCTATTATGTTGATTTAAGTTAGAACTTTGAGAAAACCTTTTATGACAAACATCACATTCATATGGTTTATCTCCAGAATGAAAATTTTTATGTTTTTTTAAATCAGCAATTCTAGAGAACCTTTTATGACAAACATCACATTCATGTGGTTTATCTCCTGAATGAATCTTTTTATGTGTGCTTAAATCAGAACTTGAAGAAAACCTTTTTTGACAAACATCACATTCATGTGGTTTATCTCCTGAATGAATCTTTTTATGTTCTCTTAAAGTAGAACTTCTAGAAAATCTTTTATGACAAACACCACATTCATGTGGTTTATCTCCTGAATGAATAATTTTATGTTGTAACAGATCTTTCTCCTCCACAAAGGTTTTATGACAAACACCACATTCATGTGGCCTTTCTCCTGAATGAATCTTTTTATGTTTACCTAAGTTAGATTTTCTAGTAAACCTTTTATGACAAATATCACATTCATATGGCTTAACTCCAGAATGAACATATTTGTGATAACTTAAACCAGAACTATGAGAAAACCTTTTATGACAAACATCACATTCATGTGGCTTATCTTCTGAATGAACCTCTTTATGTTTTCTTAAATAAGAACTTTGAGAAAACCTTCTATGACAAACATCACATTCATGTGGCTTATCTTCTGAATGAACCTCTTTATGTTCTCTTAAATGAGAACTTTGAGAAAACCTTTTATGACAAACATCACATTCATATGGTTTATCTCCAGAATGAATATTTTTATGTCTTCTTAAATCAGAACTTTGAGAAAACCTTTTATGACAAACATCACATTCATGTGGTTTATCTCCTGAATGAATCTTTTTATGTCTTATAAATTGTGAACTTTGAGAAAACTGTTTAAGACAAATCTCACACTCATATGGCTTATCTTCAGAATGAAAATTTTTATGCATATTACTTTCACAACTTTGAGAAAATGTTTGATGATAAACAATTTTATTTTTGTTGTCCCTAGACAACTTTAGATTTTCTTCAAGTCCATTTTCTTGTTTATCCTCAAAAAATAAAAATTCTGTTGTGAAATCTTGTTTTAAATTTTCAGGTGATAATTCTGGCTTTAAATTTTCAGATGTTGAAAATACTGCTGATGCAGCTGGTTTCTTATTAATTTTTTCAATTGAAAATGTATTTTCAGGTTTAACATCTTGATAAGTTTTAAATGATATGTTAGGTTTTATATCCCGAACATTAAAAAATGATAATTCTGGTTTTATTTTTATGTCATTAGAAGAAGAAAATTCTGAATTAATATCAGGTTTAACATCTTGAGCGGTTTTAAATGGCATGTTAGGTTTTATATCCTGGAAATTAATAAATGTCAATAATTCTGTTTTGATGCCAGCAGAAGATGAAAATATGGTCGATAGATCTGGTTTCAAATCTTCAGAATATGAAAACTCTGTCAATTCATTTGACTGTATATCTACAGTAGATGAAACTGCAGCTAACACATCTGTTTCCACCTCCATGCTGGACAGCTTCTTAGATATGAACTGATAATTTAAAAATGTAAATGTTAAACTGGTGATTAAATAACCAAAACAACATATTACTAATAACATGGCAAAATTTGTAACACATGCCAGACTTTAGTCAGTCTGATTACTAATGATTACTCAGTCAGATGTAATTTTAAAATAGACAACCAGTAATGCAAAGTAATCAGGACTGCAGATTAAAATCTGAAGCGACCAGTTTCTTAAAAATTATTGTTAAAAATAGAAATACTAAGAAATTAATAACAAAAATCAAAACTTGATATGCTTTTGTTAGTTTTAAATATGTAATAAAAGTGTTAAAATTAATTTTAATTACAGTTCTAAACTGTCATAAACAGCTTAAGAAACACTTGATTTCTTTAGGCAGCTTGGCACTAATTTGCACCTTTTGTAGTTTAGTGACAATATTTGTACACAATAGGACTTGTAATTTCTTGCAACAATTGTAAAAACTTTCAATGCTATTTTATTCGTATGGCTGGGAACTAATATATGTGCATGCATAAAGGTTTTGTGGATATGGATTTATTAATTTGTTTACAGGTAGTGCAAGGAAGGCTAGGGGATGATAATGTTACTCTACTAAACTAGCTTAGCTATTTTAAACTACGGAATGAACACAACACAAATGGTGTCGTATTCCAGTTTTAGAATATAAAGAAATGAACTTTTTCATTCAAATTTGATTTAGATCTAGATTTTATAAATTTACTTAGCAAGAACCTACACTATGGAATGTATACAATTTTCTTGTTCAAACTAATGGAGAGGTTGCACACACATGACTAAAACCACATGATGTTTACATCCACAGCCGTGTTGATGCCCTAGCCTAGCACTGGACTTCTCTATGTATTTTATATTGCTAGTCCCTAAGTTTATTTTAAAAACTAGCCACCCACAGAACAGCAACAATATTTGAAGAAACTTAAATTATTCAGGAACCTATTTTTTTTATTTTTGTCCAGCTGATGGACAATATGAATATAATAAATAACTGCCAAAATGTGAACAACTAACGGAATCTATCCAATCAAAAGTGAAAGCCACAACTCCAGAGAGTCAGCCTCAAGAATACCCAAGATTCTAGAAAGTTCGACCTCACAACAATTGTGGTCTTGGATGCACACTATTAAGTATGAATAGATCTATTAGTCATTCATGTCAACTATATTGAAAAAAAAAGAAAAATTACTATACAGGTATATATTAAAACAAAACAAAATAACCGTATTAAACAACAAAATCAACACAACAGACATGTGAATAGACAATTTTTCAAGGGAAACTACTCTATTATTGTTTTTAAAACATGGCCACTGCTTGTATTTACTCATTGTTGTCTCGAACGGGGTAGTTCAAAGTTTATTCCAGGATATTTTTGGCTGGTTTGGTCATAGATTGTGATTTGTTATATTATGTAAAATATGCCATAAATATGGCCAAATGAAAGAAATATTCATTAGTTACTGCCATCGCACATTACTAGCTAGTAGCTACTTTGGAAATTATGAAGCTAAACTAAGGTTTTACCGAGAAGAGTTATGATGACTATTATTTAGCGATACTCACTAATTTTAAATTTCGTTATTTTTCGATTTAAACATTACCAATGAAAACTAGAGATCAATCTCTAATCAATAAAATACTTAATTTGTTGTTAATTAACTCATTTGGAGCTTAATTACTGTTTTTTATTAATTGGCCACTCCCAGCATTGCAAGCCAAAAATCTGTGACAACCATTTTCCTATCTAAAGAGAAGAACTCTGCAGGGTGGACCTTGCAGCTGATTTGATTTTAACAGAATATGCACAGTACATTTGATTTTATTACCACATTTTTATTAATATGGACACTGTCTTCGTCAGAATAAAAATCACAAGATGGAATTACATCTAGTTCTATATTTTTAAAAAAATTATTTGATTTCCTTTTTTTTAAATGGAAGGATGTTTAAAAAGGAAAACTAAACCCAGATTAATGTATTTGACGACAAATATGCGTCAATTAAATATGTTTAAGAATATAGAATAGATCTAAACTTTTGAAAGATATTCTATCCCATGCATGTTTCATCAACTAGTGTAAGTGCTTTAGCAATGCTTAATCAGGGCAATTTATAAAATTCTAGCGATGTCATTGTAAAATGAATCTAACTCTCCTCTCTCACTGGACTTGGGACAGGTGTGTTATTCACAAAGTTTCGCCGATGCTCAGTTTAAAATATTGTTAAGATTTGTAAGTATTTGATTTAATTTTATTAAAATCTGCAATAGCATTAAAATTGATAAAGTTAGAGAGAAATGCATTCTAAACAGCATCACGGGCAGTGTGCGTGGCGGACATCTCGCTCGCGTAGTTTTGTCAACCAGAAAAGTTAGCCTATCAAATACAATAATCCCAAACTGTAGGTCTAGATTAATATAAAGTTCACATTAAATGTATTTAATTAAGATGTGTGTCTATTTGTTTTTTCAAATGTCAGCGCATAAAAATTGATTACCCGAGAGCGTTAATTAGGCCTATGCCTATGCATTCCAAACATCGACACAGACCAAGTGTGACACACGACTCGCTCGCGCTGGTTTGTCAGCGAGAGAGGCATCGCCCGCCACAGCGCGGGCACAGCACACATGTCCTAGTCCATGCGTACTTGGTTTACTAAGTACTAATTAGTAATGTAAACTTAGACCCAACGCTAAAATCATTTAATTTATCTATCAGGCCTCTAAAATCGTAATAATATTAACATTATTAAGCCTAATAAATGTATCAACGAAGACCAGTGAAAATAATATTATAATTAGCCTAATTAAAATTTATGAAAAAAATAAGAATTAAGACAAATTCATTAAGCTATAACAAATTTGAAAACAAATAATTAGGCCTAAGTAAGCACACAAAGACCAACGCTCACTACTAGATCTAGATCTAATTCCAGGGACCAAAAAAAAAAATAACAGATCGTTGTGGTTTAAGGGTTTTTAGAGTCATAGTATAATCCAAAAGCCAGGTGAAATATCCATAATTAGGCTTAATTAGTCTAATTACGCTAGCAAAAAAAGCTGAAAAAGAGTGTCAAGTGAAAAGAAAACACAATTATATAAGCAGCGAGGGGATGTACAGCTTCCGTAACAATAGCGATGACGTCACAATAAAAAATTACATGCTTTCAGTGACCTTTTTAGGAGGCCGATTTCTTAAAATCGGCACATAATAATTGCATTTTTTTTTCACTAAACGATCAATCTAATAATACCATACCTAACAGTGCCATTTAGACACCTTACAATCCTTTATTCAAAGTTTTTAAACAACTCAAACTATACCCATGTTTACGTTTGACCTCCATGGTCGGAAGCAATTAAAAAAAAAAATTCTGCCAAAAATAGCTTTGGCATCTTCAGATAGCTTAAAATACGCCAAAAAAACCGCCATTTTTAGCGTAATAATTATTTTTAAAGTTAATGTTAAGGACTAAGGTGGTCTCTCGAACAAAGCAGAAAAAATTGCCAAGGTGACGTAGCCATGTTCTGGTTAGCAACCAAGGACGCTTTCAAGTTACTGAGACTCGCTAGTGTGTATTATTGATTAATATTATTATTATGAGATCTCATCCAACTTTCTCAGTCATCGGCATAATTTTACCCCACTAAGTCAGTACTGACTCAGTACTACTACTACCACATTAACTACACTACTTACACTACACTGAGTCACACTCCATTGATAATCCGGTTTTTAAATACTTATATGTAGGCCGTTCGAATTCACAGCTTCCGGGTTTGTTGTTTTGAAGCCATCTCACGGCTCATGCGCTTACCAAAAATGGCGACGAGTTTCGCTTTCACTAATGGGTAGAGCGATAAAACTAATGATTACGAAGCCATCGTTAATTTAAGAAATCGGAACTATCCGTTTCTATTTCAGTCTGTTATTTAAGAATTCCCAGATGTACTTTTGACCTAATTTCTTTGTTTGTCTCGCAAGCGACGCGTTAGTGAAAATAGCTCTATGAATTCTTGTCTTTTATATCAAATAACTCTTACATATCGCTTCCAGATGCAAACCAGCTTATGTCAGATGTAAACTTTAAAGTATTAATTTTACACACATTACAATTAACTGGTAATAATTTGGCGTGTTAATGAGATGTGTTTGTGGGAAAACGATCACCCCCCAATAATGCCATTTTATTATAATCTTGCTTAGTGAAAACGAGGCGCGGGAAAATGTGTGCTGCGCAAGAATCCAATCATTTGGCTAGATTTATGACTGTTTTTTTATGTCACGCCTAAAAATAGAATGTTTACGCTTTCTTCATTGATGATCGTTTTCATTATTTTTTAAACTGAAAGTATGCATTATTAGTTAGATTTCAGGTTTTGTAACTTGGTATACTTACCCTTTATTAAAATTAAAAGCATAGCATGCTGATTGTGAACAAATATAGTCATAAAACACAGAAATATAAAGTTACAAACAATGCGATGTCAGGATGTGCCACACCCGGGCCACACCCCCTCAAGAAAACACGTGTTTATTAAGCTGTTTATGTCACTTTACACCAGTAATTAAAATTAATTTTCAAATTTTTATCACTTATTGGGTAAGATTAAGCACATGTATACTGAAAATTAAAAAAAAAACAAAAGCAAATTCTGTTTTAATGAAGGTCACGGGTCAAGTTTTTTTTCCTTCTGTCAAGTTCATTGGAGGTTGCCACAGATTGACCTGACTTTGGAATTTTTTTTCAGTAATAATGACTTTACACAGAAAGTTAAAATATGCTAAATTAGCTTAGTTTACTAGTGTTCTAGCTATTATTGATACATTTTTAATAAAAAAAATCATTCTGTAATTCTCATCAAAAAGCCTACTTATATGTAAGCTCGAAAAACGTTTTTTTTTTACTCTGGGGAAGTGTTTTATTATTATTACTCAATCAATCAGTCCGTCAAAGCCAATCCCACCTTTCACCTTTTCCGAAATCGGCGTTTAGATTAATATAAAATGGCGTCCAGGAGGTTTTTAATACGGTCGTCTGTAAGGGCAATGGTTTTTTTTCGACTGTTGATTTATTATACAATTCTATTTTTATATCGTAGTGAAGATGTTAGGCTTTAGTATTAAGTACAAATAAAAAAGTCAATAATACACGCACCTGCTTTAGTTTATTTTGACTTCAAGCACAAGAGTGAATTTCCCTCGTCGGCCTCGTGAAAGACAAAGAAAGAAATCAGGTAAAGCTAGCATTATTAAAATGTTAATTATTTGCCCCGTAAATACATGGGCAGTTTCGATACAAATCTATGCGATTACGATACGATCCTTATTTATAATTTATAAGTATCATGTACTTCATGAGAAAGAAATGATTCGATATTTTATGTCCGCCCAAAACACGGTGGCCTGCGAAACCGCGAGAACGAGAATTCACGAATCGAAAAGCCTAGTATAAAGTATAATTAGTATAAAGTAGATCTAGATCTAATAAAGTACAAATGTTTGTAAAAAAAAAAGTTTGATCTTTCTGCATATAATCTGAAATGACCAGAAATGAGTCTCAATCTCTGCTTAACTACTTAACTAAATACTAGATCTAGATTCTAACGACTTCACTTTATTTATTAGTATTAGTAGGCTACTAACTACTACTAGTACTAGATCTAGATCTAGAATCTAGTTTCTCATTAGACACTAGATAGGCCTGCTATTTAATATTTTAAAAAATATTTATTATATTTATTTACAAACTTACTAGACTACTACTAGAGCTAGATCTAGGCCTACTAAATAATACTACATGACACATGAAGTATTTTGTTAGAATATTTAAGTAGGTAAAACCTCAGTTTAGCGTAGGTTATTATTCCGGAATGGTATAGCAGTAAAAAAAACAATGGCAAAATCTGTCACACAGTTCCGGAAGTACTGTTAACCATACTTTATTAGGCGTCATCTTTTATTTTTAATACAGATCGTTTAAAATTTGGATAGATTTATTTTGATTGCGTGTTAAATACTACTTTATTACTCATTTTGAATAACTAGTTATTTTTAAGTGTTTCAGCTAAATATTTCTGCTACTAAACATTGTTAAAGGGGTCATCCATAAATGACGTCACGCTTTTTTTGACGATTTTTACCTCCCCCCTTCCCTCTGTCACACGTCGTCACAAAAAGCCAGACCCCCCCCCCCTAAAATGACATCACACTTCAACCTACAACCCCCCCTCAAAATTGCAGTTGAATTTTTTAAAAACATCGATATTTTCCAAAATCTTGTCTAAACTATTACAATTTATTAAAACAGTTATCTAAAACGCGAAATAACGTCTAAAATTCGTTTTCTAACATTGCTTTTTCATAATGCAAAAATGTGACGTCGCAACATCTGACCCCCCCCCTCCCCCTCATCACACATCGTCACAAAATTACGGACCCCCCCTCCCTCCTACGAGTGTGACGTCATTTATGGATGACCCCTTAACAGGATTTGTACGCAGTCTGGAAAAAGTCTTGAATTTAGAAAAGTGAATTTCATCAGACTTAAAATAGTCTGGACGGGTCTACACTGTGGAATGATGTTTTTCGCTGGGTATCTCAGAAGAAACCCGATTTCTCAGTTACTACGTCATTGTGGGAGGGGGGGGTGTGTAAGACCTGTCTTTTTGTTGTTGTTGTTGTTGCGAGACTGACCGTGAAAATGTTTAGGGCTAGACTAACCCGCCCATCCTAGTAACTAAGGTCACTGATGATAATCACTTTCAGCTCTAAATGTCTGATCAAGTGAATACATCCTATTAATTTAATAACTCTAGCATTATAGAACAAAAGAAAATGAGAGAGCAAGTAGGTCACTGTGACATCTGTTTAAGAAAATTTTCATCTTTTGAAAGATTACGAAAACATTGGAATTAAAAGCACACAGAAGTGCAAGCCATAAGCTGTTGTTTTTTGTGATTTTATAGATAAAGAGGAGCCGTTGTTTGCTAAATATAAAAAGGAATTTCATCCAAACTATCAGATGGCGTGTGAGTTCTGTGGTTATACCACCAGGAAATGGAGTAAGCTGAAAAAACATCACACAGAAGTTCATATGGCTTTGTATAAAGAAAACATTGCTACTGGTTTAAAAAAGGACAATTTCAGAGAGGAAACGATGACATCTTCATGTAAATACCCATCAGATCACAGATCAACTTCACCAAATTGTGGAAACTTTAATGTCCAATGCTCAATATTGAAGGAGAAAAAAAATTTATCATCAACTAATGAAATGACAGCTGAGCTTTACAACAATAAATTCAAAACATGTGACAAATTGCAGTTACATCATGAAAATAAAACAGCTGCACCTCAAAAGTTACAAAATTTAACTGGGCAAAAATGTGAATGTGCTCTGGAGAATTGTACAACTTGTCAACTATACCATAATGATAAACAGAGAGGCAGTGATCCTCCAACTGAGATTTCTGTGTGTGACATTTGCCAAAAAAGTTTTAAATCCTTATCTCATTTGGCTTCTCATAAAATTGTACACACTCGAATGAAATGTTACATATGTTGCCACTGTGATAAAAGTTTTAACATTGGAGAAGAATATGATCTACACTTAGCAACACATTTTAGGTATAAGCTATTTAAATGTGAAATTTGTGAAAAATGTTATGCAGATAAACAATACCTAAAAGCTCACATTAGGATGCATAATGGAGAATCAATTCACAAATGTGAGAAGTGCCATTACACTTCACCTTATCTGTGTCGGCTAAAACAACATCAAAAGATTCATCTAAACTTTCAATCAGTTGATGGTGTTGAAAATGTACAAGCTTGTGATATTTGCCAAAAAAGCTTTGTTTCTATAGCTCACCTTTTGTCCCATCAACTGATACATACACCTTTGAAGCTTTACATATGTAGTCATTGTGACAGAGGCTTTAACTTACCAGATGAATATGACCTGCACCTTGTAATGAGACATTTCAGGTACAGACCTTTCAGATGTTCATTGTGTGAGAAAACTTTTAGCATGAAATTTTTTTTAATAATTCATATGAACATACACACTAGGGATTTACTGTATAAGTGTTCAAATTGTGACTACACAACAAACGATAAAAGTCCTTTCTTAGAACATAGGAGAGTTTACATAAACAGTAAGCCTTTCACGTGCAATTCTTGTGACTATTCAGCTGCTTCTAGAAGTACTCTACAAAGACACTTGAGGACTCACTCTGGTGAGAAGCCATTTTATTGCAGCCTATGTGACAAACGATTCAGTCAACGTGTACATTTAATCTCACACAAATGGCATATTCATCTAGTTTAATCATACTACTGAAGACACACTCCGAACAGTGTTATCATGTGTAGTTAATCAAGGTATGTTAGTGTTGGTGCGAAAGATATAATGATGACATAGTGATGAAAGATAATTGTGGTGATGTAATGTGTATGAAAGGTGAATACGTGGAACTGATCACTGCGTGTGTGTATGTATCATGTAGTGAGATGCGAGGCTGGGTGTGTTGACGTGTATGTTGTTGTACGGACTGAACTAGGGTACAAGGGAAGCGACTGGTCGGGTGACAGTGGCTGTGTTGTGAGCAAGAGAAAGGTGGTGTGTAGGAGTGAATGCGCGGGGGGGGGGGGGCAGTTGAAAGCTGGAGTGTAAGCAACCAGGTTGATGTGGGACTAAGTGGCACGTTTAAAGAGAAATAAAGGATACTGTGATACCTAGCCCCAATCGTGTTGGTTGTGCCTTCTTTGAGATCCTGACACCCTCACAATAATGACGTTTTGTGTAGAAACTGGTTGCTGTGTATTGTGTGTATGAGTTAATTATATTGCTATTTTTTGACATCTTAATATATTTTTCTCTACCTAAATAGGATTTAAATTCAACAAGATATTTCAGTTTTTGTATATGTTCTGTAAATCATAAAAAGTAAATTAATACGGGGATTTTTTTATCATCTTAATGGTCATGATTAGAGTTCTACTTCAATGCAGAAAAAGCTAACATAATATTAAGAACATTATCTTTTTCCCATTCGTCTCAGAATGCACTTGTTCAATAAAGCTATTATTAGTTTTTAATTTTAAGTCACTGCATTCCAACTTTTAAATTTCTTTTTCAAACTATTAAGCTTTTATTTAGTATCCTAATGTTTTTGCATTGTTTGTTCTAGGCAAACTTCATCAGAGAATTTATTGTGTTATTTCCAAAAAAATATTTTTAAAGCTCAAAGCCTTATCACACGCTGTACTTATTATAAAATTGTGCATAGAATTACAAAATGTTACATATGTTGTCATTGGTAAAAGTTTTAAAAGTGGAGAAGAATCTACATTAAAGACATATTTTATGCAAAAGCTTTTAAAAAAGAAAATGTGTGAGCTATGTTATGTAGATAAGATAAATGTAATCTAAATGATCATATTAAATGACAAATGGAGAATTAATTTATAAATGCAAGAAATGCAATTACATAACATGTCCTTGATCTGCCATGAAGCCACACTGTAAGATAAATCAGATCCTGAAACAGGAAAATTGTCAAGATGAGGTTGTTAAAAAATTATACATTTGTTTTATTTACATAAAATTAGAAACGTTTACACTACATTAAATTTATTTTTGTCATTGTATCTATAAAGTTATTTTTTAAAATTAATAATCATTTTTCATTATCGAAAATGTGTATTGTATTTTAAGTTGTCAACTAATAAGCGGTATTATGAATAATTGGATAGTTTTGTTTATCAATATTTTTCCCTGTTTGCTTTTTAGTTATTGTTAATTTCTTAAATAAATGTTGACACTACTTTTGTCACAGCAATAAAATGTGATAATTTTTAGATTCTATTTGAGTTGTTGCAATCAATTTCTATTTCACCATTATGCATGTGACATGCTTTTAGCTGTGTTGTTAAATGAAGCAACAATTTTTACAACAATACTAAGATTAAATAACTTAATTTCATGTGGCAAGAACAAACTTACAAATGAGTTAACTCCATTGCTCAGTCAGCAGAGTTTCTTCCAGGCATCTCTAATTTATATAGAAAATATATACTTTTAACAGTGTCCGCCCCCCGAAGAAAGTTTACCGCCCCCCCCCCCCCCCCGAAAATTTCAAGTGCCCCCCCCCCCCCAGAGAAAAAAGTCTGGAAGAAACACTGTCAGTCAGGATAAAACAGGCTGTTTCTAAATGCGGACCACACCGTGTGACCCCATTTAGGGGAGTGACACCAAGAAAAAAAGGGCAAAATGTATACAGAAAAATGATAATTCCACTTACATAATAATTAGAGTAAGTTAAATAGTCTTTTAAGAGGAAAGTTGACCAATCCCGACAAGGGCGCAGAGGGGGTGGGGAGGGGGGGGTGACACAATGACGTAAACCTGCTAATGATAGAGAAAACACGCCACATCCAGCTGAATTTATCACCCACTATAGATAAAAATTGCTAGTGTTATCTGAGAGTACACTTCTTGTGCAGTTGGGCTATAGAAGTTTATGGCAAAACCTTTCTTTTTGAGATAATGACTCACTACTACAGAACATCCATAAGTCATTCATTTTTATAATTTTTTTTTTACTTGTAATTGATAAAAAATAGTAAAACAAGTGTTTAAAATGTCAAATGATTCTTTTGTAACTGGAGTCCTAACAAGCAAAAGTTATCTGACACTGACCTTACCTAACTTGCAGGTACAGTCTTTGGAGCATCAATAATATTGAAACCTGGCTCAGAAATGCTAAACAGCCTTTGATTCTATCGGTCACACTATACTTCTAGAAAACTAATTCCATACACATTTAGCTCCCTTAAACTAACTCTATAAGCTATTATAATAGTAATAATTTGGATTGTGCACTTTTTGTGCAGTTGGGCTATAAAAGTTTATGGCAAAACCATTTTTTGAGAAAACAACTCACTACTGCAGAGCATCAATAAGTCAATAATTTTTATAAATTTTATTTTACTTGTAATTGATAAAAAAATTGTAAAACAAGTGTTTAAAATGTCAAATGTTTCTTTTGTAATGAGAGTCCTAACAAACATAAGTTGTCCAACACTGACCTTCACCCACACAGAAGGTACAGGCTTTGGAGCATCACTAGTGAGTAAAATACACCCCAGCATTCAAAACACATTGGCCTCATTGGAATTTATGTTAACTTACATAAAGTGTTGTTAAAAAAATAATAATAAAAATTGACACACACTTTAACCATTTTATTTCTTAACATCTTTATTACAATTTCAAATGATTCACTACTTTAAAATTTACATTACAAAGCTTTTTTTTAATAAGGAATATATAATTAAAACACAATGAAAATTCACATGTTAAAACTAAGATACGAAAATGTAACAATTGCAGCTATAGTCTTTCTTTTCTTCAAATTTTTAATTGTTATGCTGTTTTAAAAAATTAAATGTTAATTTATGACATTGAAATGTGTTGTTAATCTTTAAATAAATTGTATAGCCTATATGAATAAGTGAAGAAAATTATTTTATACTCTTTTCAATCACATAGCATGCAGAGAGGAGCCTGAGATTTGGCATAAAGTTCATATTGAGAAGGTGTGAATAAAGATTAAATCTATATTTAAAAAACCCATTCATCTAGCAAAAATAAGGAAGTAACCATAAGCCTTAGCAATGGTTGGAGCAACATGAAACTTGGGGTTAGTTCCATAAGACATGTAAATAGTGGGGAGGGAGAGGAAGTTTTAACATATGGTCTGTTTGAGTTATACATTGCATCCAGTAGAGTTTGATCCTATGATTTGTGATTCTATACCTCTAAATATAATGATTAAGGTCATTTAGCAAAAGATGAAAGTGTTTATAAAAAAAGATTGTCTGCTCAGAAGTTTTGATGTCACTGTACCTGTTGGCCAGATGCCACTGTGACTGCTGGCCTAATGTCATTTTACTTGTCTAATGGAGGTCAATTTTATATAATTTGAAACAGGCAAATTAACTTGTGGCCTGAACAAAACCATACGGGTATAAAATTAAAACCCTGGAATGAAGCTTTTCATGTGTTGTTAAATGATCACTTCGAGAAAACTTTTTATGACAAACATCACATTCATGTGGTTTATCTCCTCAATGAATCTTTTTATGCCTTCTTAAATGAGAACTTTGAGAAAACCTTTTATGACAAACATCACATTCATGTGGCCTTTCTCCTAAATGAATTTTTTTATGCGTTCTTAAATTACATTTTAGAGAAAACCTTTTATGACAAACATCACATTCATGTGGCCTTTCTCCTGAATGAATTTTTTTATGCTTTCTTAAATTACATTTTAGAGAAAACCTTTTATGACAAACATCACATTCATGAGGCGTTTCTCCTGAATGAATTTTTTTATGTGTTCTTAAAGGAAAACTTTGAGAAAACTTTTTATGACAAACATCACATTCATGTGGTTTATCTCCTGAATGAACGTTTTTATATTCTCTTAAATGAGAACTTTGAGAAAACCTTTTATGACAAACATCACATTCATGTGGCCTTTCTCCTAAATGAATTTTTTTATGCGTTCTTAAATTACATTTTAGAGAAAACCTTTTATGACAAACATCACATTCATGTGGCCTTTCTCCTGAATGAATTTTTTTATGCTTTCTTAAATTACATTTTAGAGAAAACCTTTTATGACAAACATCACATTCATGAGGCGTTTCTCCTGAATGAATTTTTTTATGTGTTCTTAAAGGAAAACTTTGAGAAAACTTTTTATGACAAACATCACATTCATGTGGTTTATCTCCTGAATGAACGTTTTTATATTCTCTTAAATGAGAACTTTGAGAAAACCTTTTATGACAAACATCACATTCATGTGGCCTTTCTCCTGAATGAATTTTTTTATGTGTTCTTAAAATACATTTTAGAGAAAACCTTTTATGACAAACATCACATTCATGTGGCCTTTCTCCTGAATGAATTTTTTTATGTGTTCTTAAAATACATTTTAGAGAAAACCTTTTATGACAAACATCACATTCATGTGGTTTATCTCCAGAATGAATATTTTTATGTCTTCTTAAATTAAAACTTTGAGAAAACCTTTTATGACAAACATCACATTCATGTGGTTTATCTCCAGAATGAATTTTTTTATGACATCTTAAATAAAAACTTTGAGAAAACCTTTTATGACAAACATCACATTCATGTGGTTTATCTCCTGAATGAATTTTTTTATGTTTACTTAAGTTAGAACTATTTGAAATCCTTTTATGACAAACATCACATTCGTGTGGTTGATCTCCTGAATGAAGCTTTTTATGTATTCTTAAATGAGAACTTCGAGAAAACCTTTCATGACAAACATCACATTCATGTGGTTTATCTCTAGAATGAATTTTTTTATGTTTACTTAAGCTAGAACTATTTGAAAACCTTTTATGACAAACATCACATTCATGTGGATTATCTCCTGAATGGACATTTTTATGTTTTTTTAAATAATAATTTGTAGAAAATCTTATATGACAAACATCACATTCATGTGGTTTATCTCCTAAATGAATCCTTTTATGTGTTCTTAAATGAATACTTTGAGAAAACCTTTCATGACAAACATCACATTCATGTGGCTTTACTACTGAATGGACCTTTTTATGTGTTCGTAAACCAAAACTGCGAGAAAAACGTTTATAACAAACATCACATTCATGTGGTTTATCTCCTGAATGAATTTTTTTATGTATTTTTAAATTAGAATTTCTAGAAAACCTTTTATGACAAACATCACACTCATATGGCTTATCTTCAGAATGAACATTTTTATGCATATTACTTTTAGAACTTTGAGAAAATGTTTCATGATAACAAACAATCTTATTTTCGTTGTCCCTAGACAATTGTAGATTTTCTTCAAGTCCGTTTTCTTGTTTATTCTCAAAAAGTAAAAATTCTGTTGTGAAATATTGTTTTAAATTTTCAGTAGATGATAATTCTGGTTTTAAATTTTCAGATGTTGAAAATACTGCTGATGCAGCAGGTTTCTTATTAATTTTTTCAATTGAAAATGTAACATCAGGTTTAACATCTTGAGAAGTTTTAAATGACATGTCAGGTTTTATATCCTGAACATTAAAAAATGATAATTCTGGTTTTATGTCATTAGAAGAAGAAAATTCTGAATTAACATCTTGAAAAGTGTTAAATGACATGTTAGGTTTTATATCCTGAACATTAAAAAATGATAATTCTGGTTTTATGTTATTAGAAGAAGAAAATTCTGAATTAACATCAGGTTTAACATCTTGAAAAGTGTTAAATGACATGTTAGGTTTTATATCCTGGAAATTAATCAATGTCAATAATTCTGTTTTGATGTCAGCAGAAGAAGAAAAGTCTGGTGTAACATCAGGTTTAACATCTTGAGTGGTTTTAAATGTCATGTCAGGTTTTATATTCTGAGAATTATAAAATGACAATACTTCTGTTTTGATGCCAGCAGAAGATGAAAATATGGCCGATAGATCTGGTGTCAAATCTTCAGAAGATGAAAATTCTGTTAATTCATTTGACTGTATATCTACAGTAGATGAAACTGCAGCTAACACATCTGTTTCCACCTCCATGCTGGGCAGCTTCTGAGATATGAACTGATGATTAAATAAAAAAGTTTAAAAAAACCCACGTTTTCTGATTGAACTAAAAAGTAGAAAATAAATACTATACATCACAATAATGCAAGCGATCACTCTACTATAAGCGATCAAAAACGTGGGGCGCCGAAGTAAAAGTTATATTACTATTGATTAGATAATACTATTGACTTTTATTAGGGAGCTTGTAGAGAGTCAACAGTATTAGAAACTGTAAGAAAATCACGGCGCCCCACGTTTTTGATCGCTTATAGTAGAGTGATCGCTTGCATTATTGTGATGTATAGTATTTATTTTCTACTTTTTAGTTCAATCAGAAAACGTGGGTTTTTTAAAACTTTTTTAATGATTATTATTTTCTACTTTTTAGTCTTTGTCTGTTTGTTTGCATTAAAATCTTGCTATCGATTTTATCTTTTCACTTTTTTTTGGGTAAACGAAGACAACTCGTAAAAAGACAACTCGTAAAAAGACAACTCGAAAAAAAATCGTTGTGTGAATACGTTACTGACTAGAACACATAGATTTGAACCCGTGTCGAGTGGGATAGCAATCGTGTGCCCAACCACTCGACCATATCGTCTCCCCCAAACTGGCCTACATCCTGTAAGTTTAAACTCGGTTCAAAGTAAATTATCTGCCCCTAAGCCTGTGGCAACGTGGGATCGTTCGCTTCACTGCGCGCGAGGTACGCGTCGCTGGTTTTTTTTCTAATGGCTCGCAGAGGAGAATTATATATATAGATTATATAGCGGTCTAAAATGCTCAATAAAATGTTTCCATTGATCAATTTAGTAATAATAACAATTGCATATTCTATGGTCATCCAAAAGAAAGCTTCCCTGAAAATTTCAGCGCGCTAGCTAACTGGGAAGTGCCAGAAATTTCGATCGCAAGATTTGATTGGAAAGACAAACAAACACAGAAACACAGACACAGAGAAAGCAAGTTAAAGAAAACGTGGGAAAAAATGTAAATGTTAAACTGGTGATTAAATCACCACAACAACTTATTACTAATAACATTGCAAAATTTGTAACACATGTAATTTGATAGGCTAACTTTTGTAAACACAGATGTAATTTTAAAATAGTTAACCAGTAATGCAAAGCAATCAAGACTGCAGATTAATATCTTAAGCTACCATTTTCTTAAAAATTATTGTTAAAAGTAGAAATAATAAGATATTAATAACAAAAATCAAAACTTGATTTGCTTTTGTTAGTTTTTAAATGTAAGTAATAAGTGCTTAATCTTATCCAAATATGTAATAAAAGTGTTAAAATTAATTTTATTTACAGTTCTAAACTGTCATAAACAGCTTAATAAACACTTGATTTCTTTAGGCAGCTTGGCACTAATTTGCATTTTTTGTAGTTTTGTGACAATATTTGTACACAATAGGACTTGTAATTTCTTGCAACAATTGTAAGAACTTTCAATGCTATTTTATTTGTATGGCTGGGAACTAATATATGTGCATATGGATTTATTAATTTGTTTACAGGTAGTGCAAGGAAGGCTAGGGGATGATACTGTTACTCTACTAAACTGGCTTAGCTATTTTAAACTACGGAATGAACACAACACCAATAGTGTCCTCTTCCAGTTTTAGAATATAAAGAAATGAACTTTTTCATTCAAATTTGACTTAGATCTAGATTTTATAAATTTACTTATCAAGACCTACACTATGAAATGTATACAATTTTCTCGGTCAAACTAATAGAGAGATTGCACACACATGACCAAAACCACATGATGTTTACATCCACAGCCGTGTTGATGCCCTATGTATTTTATATTGCTAGTCCCTAAGTTTATTTTAAAAACTAGCCTCCCACAGAACAGTAACAATATTTGAAGGAACTAAAATTATTGAGGAACCTATTTTTTTTTACTTTTTCCAGCTGATAGACAATATGAATATAAACAACTGACCAAAATATAAACATCTATCCAATCAAAAGTGAAAGCCACAACTCCAGAGAGTCAGCCTCAAGAATACCCAAGATTCTAGAAAGTTCAACCTCACAAAAATCGTTGTGGTCTTGGATGCACACTATTAAGTATGAAAACGTCTATTAGTCATTCATGTCAACTATATTGAAAAAAAAGGAAAAACTATAGGCCTACAGGCATATATTAAAACAATACAAAATAATTTAATTAAACAACAAAACAACACACCAGACATGCGAAGAGACAATTCTTCAAGGGAAATCACTCTATTATTGTTTTTGAAACATGGCCACTGCTTGTATTTACTCATTGTCTCGAACGGTGTAGTTTAAAGTTTATTCTAGGATATTTTTGGCTGGTTTGGTCATAGATTGTGATTTGTTATTCAATTATCTGTTATATTATGTAAAATATGTAATAAATATGGCCAAATGAAAGAAATATTCATTAGTTACCTCCAGTGCACAGTACTAGCTAGTAGCTACTTTGGAAATTATGATGCTAAACTATTAATATTAATATAATGAGATCTGATCCAACTTTCTCAGCCATCGGCATAATTTTACCCCACTAAGTCAGTACTACTACTACTACATTAACTACACTACTTATACTACACTGAGTCACACTCCATTGATAATCTGGATTTTAAATACGGTAATCTATCGTTTTAGCGTAATCAATTCGGTCGTCACTAGTAATGTAGGGATAAGGTAACTAATAAATATGGCTTAAATATGAATATATTTTTGCATATTCTACTAAAATACTAAAGATAATTGAATATTAACCCTTTATTTACGGAATTATGTTCTGAATGAATTTTTTTCTTAAACAACGTGTTATCATATTGCTTTTGGCACATTTAAAGCATATGTCGAAGGAAATTTCGTTTCATAAATTTTTAATGGCCCAAACAGATATTGGTACTTATAAGTACCGTCAGGAACGTAGGACATTTTTTCCAAAAAATATTTTTTTTACAAAACAGGAACAAACGATACAATTTATTAACTAATAACATGGCAATCATTATAACCGTCATTTTTTTTGGTAATTTTCACACATAAATACAGCACAAAAGTATATTTTGAGTACGATTTTTACTGGATTTTCTATCTGAACACATCTTAGACCTCAAATGCAGCAAAAGTTCCCGACATGTCATGCTCCCTCATTCTTGTCTGTGGTCATTATGGTGTAGCAATGGTTGCCGCACTGAACATGCTTTTGCTGGAAGCTTCCAATAGCTATTACTTACAATGAGCCGCATAAACAAACAAAAGCCTAGTCATTCAGTACACAACTACTAGTAATACTAGTATAATTGTAGCCTACTAGAATGTTATGACAAGTCTACACTATAGTGTAAAGTTCGTAAATAGAAGTGAGCTCAATGTGTTTAGGATAGCCGAAGTGGCCTACTGTTTCCTGGTTACGGATTAAAATTTACCATAGAGATCTATACTATATGCAGAAGTATCGACTATTACTAGTCTACAGATATACATTACGTAAATACTACTTATTGTATGCAAGACAGCTTATTGCAGTAAATATAACTAACAAATTGAATCTTACTACTAGAACTAGGCTTTGGTATACAAATGAAGTATACTAAACCTAGTAAACGAGCCTGCAACTGCTACCTTTATTCTTGTTATTCTTTTACTACTAGCAATCAACATGTAATTATAATATTTCTTAAGTAAACCATATGCTAACCTTCTTATAAATGTGTAAATATCATTTTTTAAGTACATTTCGATAATTAATTATCAAAATAATATTTATGTAACTCCACATCGAAAATCTGCCATTTCCTAAAAATCCTTAAAAAATGTCAGTGTGCCCTGACGGTACTTATAAGTCCACTTGTAAACATCGACCTAATACAAAGACAATTTGATTAAAATTGTATAACTAGAAGTTAAACACGTTTGCCTGACTATTGGAGATGCCAATAAAAAATATTTGGGGATGAAAACTTCAAGAATAAGGTAAAACAAAAGGAAATTAGGAACGTGTGTGAGAACTTTATAGAACAATTGTAAACTATCGATACAGCAAGACATTGAAATAGGCGTCCTACCAAAAGTTTTCAAAGTACATCGATCCCTCCAACTACCGGCTACTCAGGGGAGATAATACTATTAATTACATCAATAATTTTTAAAATTCGTATTTAATTAAAAATTATACAGGCACTTAATTAAAGTGGTACTTATAAGTACCGTCAGTAGATAAAGGGTTAAACCATATTTAAGGGTTAAATCAATAAAAATGTCATGAAATTAAGGTTTAACAACGATGTTCCAGATACTAAATTTGCTATTAAAAACAGCGGCCATCTTAAGAAAATATTATTTTGAGTCATTTCCCTTTAATTTCTATTTGTATGGAAATGTATTGATGTTTGCTATTAAATACGTTTGTCTTGTGTTTAAATACAAAGCATGCGTTTTTTATTTAAATTCTGCCCTTTAAACAATTTAAACTGTAATTGACTGACAATAAACATCAGTTCTAGAATTATTATTATAGATTATGAGATGCAATTTTTATACATTAAGAAACTCCCTATTTTTATATAGCTACCACTACATATCTAATGTTTATTTAAATATTAGTTTGAGTTAATTGTTATTGTTTGTGTTATTGTTTGTTTGCTATTTTCATTTCATATTTTCATGCTTTTTTCCTTTAATTAGTGATTTAATCATAAATGACGTCACGTTTTTTGACATCTCTTCACCTTAACCCCCTCCCCCCCCCCCCCCCCATTTTCGCCGTCACGAAATAGTCGTAATGTCAAAAATTACATTTTTGCCCTGAGTGTTATTACTGTTAAAAAGTCAAGCCATAATTCGAACGATAAAGAATAGTTTCAGCATTTTTGTATTAGGCCAAATACATAACGTTTCACGTTTCTTAACCCTCCCCTTTCCCGCGTAAAACGTCGTCTCAAAACCAGTTACTCCACCCCTTAAGTGCGTGATGTCATTTATGGTAGATGTCAAGTCCTAACCTCCAATACACATTTTGAACAACCTTTGGTGTCAAAATGTTGATACCAAATGTCCAAAATGAGAAATATGGGGTTGTCCATAAACGATGTCACATATGCTATTCTAATGTGACGTCAATTTACGTAGGACTGCAATTTATGACCTATAATGAAGGGGTGATCGGGGGGGGGGGATGAGTGACGTCAATTATGGAAGACTTCTATAAAGCTCTGCTCAATGAAAATGAGGAACATAAAGCGTTCGTTTTCATGCATACCTTTGCTCACAACGAATGATCATAACTTTGATAACTATTGCAAGCCTGTTGTCCTAAGCGGTGTTAAACAACCTCAGCACACCATCCCCGCCAAATAGGGCCTGCCACTAAATGCCTACCGACGAAAATAGGCCGCACTACATTGACTCCGAATGAAATAACTTCTGACAATAAGGCTCAAACATACTAGCTCCTGGCAACGGTATTCGACAAGAATCCAAGACAATTATTGGCTTGCAGGTAAAATTGGACAAAACAGCAAGTTTCGCGACATGGGGCATAACAAAAGATCAGCCCTTAATACGACAGCAGCTAATGTAAAAAGCCAGAGCTCAGTATAAGCTTGAGTTTAATATAGAAATAGTGTTAGCAGTGGACAGTGCATTATGAATACGGCTAAACGCCAGAGTCCGACGATGTCTGAACATCTAGTTTGTCTTTTATAAAGTGCGGAGCACCCTTAAGAGCTGAGCTTGGGGAGGGGGTCCCTGTTGATACCACCACTAGCGCCGCTTATGTCCAAATATCAATCACAAGTTTTGCGTGGAGCTTAATGGGCAGACGAAGTTTATAGGTGGGACCGGGAGCCTAAATGCATTTACTGAAGCCGCTGTGTCACGGGCATTTTAGAGCCGAACGTCTCAGGGCAGCATGTTGCAGAAATTAAAAGCACGTGAATTTGTGTAGTAGAGGGAGCACAGCATGCCACTGTAATAAATTAAACACCAATATAATATACCGTACTAAAGTCATTTAGATCTATTCGTCAGACTAAACGTCGCTAAAGTCTCAACGCAATAGTGCCTGTTTTGACTTTTTTTTTATTACGCGGTATCTCTTTCTTTAACATAAGCCTAATGACAAATGACGTCACGCGCGCCGCGAACTTGGTGACGTTGTGCTAAGTGGGGGATGAAACAGCGGGGTTGAGAAAAATGACGCATTTCTTTTTTTTAACAGACGAATAAGTGATATATTCTAATTTTCCTACGAACTATAGGTTGATCTAGTTTTTTTTTCTATAGGAAGATATCACTATATAGTGGGTGTTTTTTGTTTTTGTAATAATGGATGGTGGGGAGGGGTAAACATCGACTATTGAACAAATAAAAAAACTGATGAAAGCAGAAGGCAAAGAAAAAAAACCCATGTGGTATTCAGATGTAACTAATTAAAATTTAAAACTATTTTTACAAACACAATAATCTTAATTCAGAAAAAGTGTAGGCCTAAGACTAATGTCTACAGACAAAATAATCAAATAGGCTTAAATGGATCACCCATAAACAGTGCCGGCGCCAGGTTATTTAGTTAATAAAAGCGTCCCCCATCTGCAATTTTTTTCACGCCCCCTTATTATCAGAGGCGTAGCGACCCTTCCCGGCGCACGGGGACAAGCTTTCGATTTGCACCCCCCCTCAAACTTTCAATTCGTTTTTCCAACCCATTTTGGCGCCCGTCCCCCCTCTCCCCCCCCCCCCCCCCCGCCTACGGACAGCGCCCTAGGCAACAGCCTAGTTCGCCTTATAGGTAGCGCCGGTCCTGTCCATAAATGACGTCATACTTTTCCCGATGAATTCCCTTTCCCCCAATCGTCACTAAAAGCAAGATGATGATTTAATATCATATCGCAGTTCTACTATACCCGAACGCTAAATCACAATTTCTAACGAAAACGAATATATTCTTCATCATTTTTTTAAAAAATATTTTACCCCCTCCCATATTTTGAGTCCAACGTCATTTAAGAAGAATATGGACGACCTAATAATTGACAAGTTCATCAGCACAAAGGGGTTTAATAAATGATGGACCTCCCAAAAGTTTTTGAGATCTTGGATGTACATACATACATAGCCTTCATTTCAATTGAAATTAAAGATAAGAAGATGGCCCTCTGTCCTACTTATATTAAACAAGACAACTATGTGTATTAAACAACAAAGTCAACACAATATACATACGAATAGACATTTGTATCAAGGGAAACTACTCTAAATTTTATTTGGAAAGATGGCCGCTGTTTTTATCTACTAATATTTATCTCAAATACCTAGTTTAAAGTTAGTTTCATGATATTTTAAATTGTTTTGGTCACTGATTGTTATTTTTAATCAAGTATCTGTTATATGTTGTAAAATTTGACTTAAATATACTTATTTAAACAAATATATTTATCAGTTACCTCTCCCGCACATTACTACTGCAGCCGAATTGATTACGCTAAAACGATAGATTACCTTAAATACTTAAATGTTAATGTAAGCTCGAAAAACGTTTTTTTTTTCTCTGGGGAAGTGTTTTATTATTACTCAATCAATCAGTCCGTCAAAACCCTTCACCTTTTCCGGAATCGGCGTTTAGATTATTATAAAATGGCGTCCTATGAGGTTTTTAATATGGTCGTCTGTACGGGCAAAGGTTTGTTTCGAACGTTGATTTATTATATAATTATATTTTTATATCATAGTGAAGATGTTATAATATTATGTACAAATA